AAGGCAGTAAGAAAATGAAAGGAAATAAAAAGTATAAAGGCTAGAAATGAAAAAACAAAAACGGTATTATCTGTAGACGATTATGGCTGCACACAGAATACTCCAAGAAATCCACAGATTAATTGTTAGAATTAAGAAATTAAGCAAGGTTGGTAAATACAAAGTCAGTATTTTTTAAATGCCCATTCTTAGTTAGCAACAAAACCTAATTAGAAATATATCTTTTAAGAATAGAGATTGCTTTGATAAAATTTATTCATTTAGGTATTTCATTTGATATCTCTCTTTTTAAACATATTGATGTGAATAAATTTAATTCGACTATAAACCATGATTTCAGATACTAATTTTCTTTTATTCTCTCTTTCTCTGTCTTTCTTTTTTTGGCCAAATATATGTGGAAAGCCTGCTATGTGCCAACAATTGCATTAGACCTTTAGGATAGTTATAAAGATGATCAAGATACGGTTCATTGTCTTCAAGTGGTTCAAGTTGGGGGAGAAGATAGAACTATAAAGAACAAAACAATGGCGTTTTAAAACAGAGAGGAAATTAGAAAGGGAGGGAGGGAAGAAAAGAGAAAGAAAGGCAGAAGGGAAAGAAGGAGGAAAGGAAGGATGAAAGGAAAGAAGTAGAGAGAAAGGGAGGGAGGACAGTAACTTTAAAAATTGGTAAGGGAAGGAGAGAAGATGAGAAACTCTAAAACCTGCAGATATTATTTCATGCTGTATGTTCCCTCCTCTGATGACAGAAAGAGAATGTGAAGAAAGAAAATTATATCCTGCACGGCTGAAAATGGTCCCCTACAAAAATATCATGTTGGACAACTCATCTGAAATAGTGGTATCTCTGGGAAGCAGTTTAGCACTGGAGAGTTTGGACTTTCATGGCAGGCTGCCTTGGTTCATATCTTTTGGTGATGATACTTATCTTCTGTAAGGCCCATTTCTTTATTTGTGAAATGAAGACAATAGAGTGCTTATATATAATTTAGAACAATGTCCATCACATAGTAAACAATAAATGGTAGCTGTTATTGTTGTTATTATTACTATTATTACCTTGAAGACAGGGGCTCTGTCTTGTTCATCATTCCGTCTCCAGCTCTTAGCACAATCCCTGGCACAATTCAAACGTGTATTTGGATGAATGACAAATATCTATTGAGTATTTGCCCTGTTCCAAGCATTGTTAGAGGTACATGGGACAGGACAGTGAACAAAACAGACAAAACCTCCTACTGTCTTAGAATTCACTCTCTACTGGGGAGACCTAGGCAATGAGGAAATAATTGAAATATACAGTGTGTCTTATGGCAATAAATGACAAAGAAAAATAAAGCAGAGAAGGTGAGAAGCAGTGACAGTGTTTTGTGATCATTTGCTTTGCAACAAGCCACTCCCCAAATTTACTGGCCTAAAATAATTTCATCATAGTTCATGCTCTGGCTACAACAATACACATCTCTCTCATGTGCAAAATACACTCACTCCTCCCTCAAAGCCTCGTGCCATTAAGGGTTCAGGTTCAAAGCTTAAGATCTTATCCTCTGAAGTACATTTAGGGACAAACAAAGCTTCTCAGGTATTTCTGGGGATGCAGAGACTTGTGAACTAAAAGACGAGTTATCTATCTTCCAACACAACTGACATGCAACGGGGATTCAGGAAAAGATAATTTCAATAGGCGCTTCTGTGCAAAAGCGGGGAAAATGAGTCATGCAGCAGTCACGGTTCATATTAATCTAAAATCTAGCCAGGCATATATCCCAAGTCTTCCTGATGTGGGGACAAGAATTATTTCTGGATTAGGGCTCACTTTTTCTCTTTGAGAATGGTTCTCCTCAGCTCTTGGATTTGTCCTCTGAATCATCCTTCCTTGTCCACATACATATACACATATACACATACATACGTAGAGAGACTGTCATGTAGGCTGGAGTACAATGGTGAGATCTCAGCCCACTGCAACCTACACCTCCTGGATTCAAGCAATTCTCCTGTCTCAGCCTCCCCAGTAGCTGAGACTACAGGTGCACGCCACCATGTCTGGCTACTTTTTGTATTTTTAGTAGAGATGGGGTTTCACCATATTTGTCAGGCTGGTCTCGAACTCCTGACCTCAGGTGATCCACCCACCTTGATCTCCCAAAGTGCTGGGATTACAGGCATGAACCACTGTGCCTGGCCCATAAAATATTTTTTGTGAAAACATCTCAGCCTGCTCCATGCCTATAGAAAGTTTGACTCCCAGATGTGTCTCTTTTCATTTTGAACTATCTCTGCCCTTCTTAAATTAAGCTGATATAATTCCTTTAAATGCTTTCTAACTTTTTAACATATTAAATTAGGGGGCAAAAATGCCTACATTTATCTTTGAATGTTACTTTGGGTTGCAAACCAAAGGGATACAGGACAGCACCCTTAAGATTCTTAGAAGCTCTTTTGCTCGGTCAGAGGGTCTGAGGTCTTAACAAAGTGTTTTACAGCCATGCCCTTGGTTTGATCTTGACCCTAAGGTCACATTTTACTGCCAGTGCCCTGAATTTGACCTTTTCCCCAGGTTTTAATATTTTAAATTTATCTTCAGAATGTCTTGCTGTCTGGAAAGACTATTCCGGGCCGTGTCTACTTTCTCTAAATCTTGCTTAAAAATGGAATACAGTAGTCCCCCCTTATTCATGAGGGATACGTTCCAAGACCCCAGTAGATGCCCAAGCCCGATTGCCATTAATCAAGACACATTTCTGTTTATGTCTTCTACCCACCAATTTAATGCCTTTTCCATCTTAACTAAGCACCTATCACACACTGTAGCCATACTTTCACAGTTTGAGATGTGACAGCAAAACTAGCACAAATCTCTTTTTCCTTCTTCACCATTTTTGGATAGAGGATGCATCCTTACCATAGACCTTAGCAACCTTGGCATATGAATTTTTTCCTTCCTTATTACACTGAGAATTTTCACCTTCTCACTTAAAGAAAGCACTTTACAGCTTCTCTTTGGCATATCCAAATTGCCAGCATCACTACTCCTGCCCTTTGGGGCCACTGTTAAGTAAAATAAGGGTGACTTGGACACAAGCACTGCATTACCCAACAGACAGTTCATCTGATAATGGAGAGGGCTGCTAAGTGACTAATGAGTGGTCATCGTAGATAGCACGAATCTGCTGGAAAAAGGGATGGTTCATGTCCCAGGCAGGATGAGATTTCATCATGCTACTCAGAACGGCACACAATTTAAAACTTATGAATTGTTTATTCCTGGAATTTTCTGTTTAATATTTTTGGACTGCTGTTGACTGCTGGTAACTGAAACTGCAGAAAAGGAAACAGGGGACAGAGACGACTACTGTAGTTTCTTCTTTAGGTTATCACTTTCTTCCTGTACTTTATCTTGGGTAACTAAAAGATATACACTTTGCCACTTTCAATATCTTTCCTGGGTATCTCCTTAGCTAGACCCCAAGTCCACTGGTTACATTTTGCTACAGTCCACATTACTCCTGGAGACCATGTTGCCAAACTTTACAGCAGGTATAATGTCTGTTCCCTTTCTCAAACTTCCAGGAACAATTTTTTCACTGCCTTTTGTCTCAACACCCTTCAAGTCTCCAAAATTTTTATTATAGTAGTACTCCACTTTTAAGCGTGTGATTTCTCTATTGCTATGTTACAAGCCACTCCATGGCTTAGTGGCTTAAAACAGTAATAATTTATTCAGTCTCATAATTTGTAGTTTGGGTGATTGTTATAACTACTGTCAGCTGGAAGCTGGGATAGCTAGAAGGTCTGTCACGGTCTCACCCACACAGTAGGCATTTGGTACTGGCTGCCAGCTAAGGGCCCAGCGGAGGCTTTGGGGGAGGTCCTCAGCTCTCCTCTGCTTGGGCCTCTCCATGTGGCAGCCTCAGCTTCCTCAGAGCATTGGGCTAAGTTCCAAGAAGGGAAGGTAAAATTTATAGATCCCTTAACGCCCAGATTTCTGCCACATTCCATTGGTTAAAACAGGTCACAGGGCCAGTTGTGTTCTTGATGAGGGGAAATAAACTCTAGATTCCACTTCTTGATGGAAAAATGACCAGGTCATCATTGCAAATAAGCGTGAAGAATGGAATATATTGGTGTGGTCTTTTTGGAAATACAATCTACCACAGCCAGAGCATATGTCTATGTATGTAATTTAAAATAAGATGGTCAGGGGAGGCCTTCAGAGACAGTGATATTTGAGCAAAGACCTGAAGAAGAAGAGAGGAAGCCTTGCAGATATTTGGGATGAAAGCATTACACACTGAAAGAATTGTAAATACAAAAACTCTGATGTGGTAATGAGCCTGGTCTACTCAAGGGATGATAAGGAAGCCACTGTGACTGAAGTAGAGGGCTGAGAAGGAAGGAACAAGAAGTTAGAGGTGAGGTCAAAGAAGTCATGGAAGCCAGATCATGTAGGGCTTAGAGGCACCTGGAAAAAGGAATGTTTGGTTCAAAGGATAAACAATTCTGCTTCCAACAGGTGTCCATAGAATAGGCCCTTCCTATGTGGTAGTAACAAAATAAGTAAACCCTTGAGAAAGAATCTCCTCACTCCCCACCTCCAAATTCCTTCTTGATAATTCCATAACTAGTTCCTGTCCATGGGTAACTCCATTGCACTTCTTGAAGTATAGCTTTCACAGGGAGGTGGCACAGCCTGTTACAAAAGTTTGCCTCTACTCCACAAGCCTTGCTCTATGTGAATGAATTATCACATACGTATGAATCTAATAGCCATTTTAGATACTGTCCAACTTCCCACCTTACCAACTTCTGAAAACTTCACCTTTTTTTCTCAGTTTTATAGATGATGTCATTATTGATTTTAAATTATAAAATGGAATGTTTCCAGGGGAGGTTACAGTTCCTGCTGCAATATATTCATCTTAGAGCATGAATGACTTGTAATTGTTAAGTGCCTTTTCACAGCTAATCATGTGGCATTTGGTTGCTGCTTTTCAGGAAAACTTTTAAAAGCAGAGTATATTCTGAGCAGTCTAATAAGCAACAATGGAGCAACGGGTGAGTACTTTCATATCTTCACAATGACCTTTACCTCAGCCCCAAACAGAGCACTTATTTAATAACAACTTAGTGACTTAATAGTTACCATACATTAGATGTTTTCAGAGCTATCTGGGACTGGCTCTGCCACTGATGAATGAAGAAGCTTTGATCAAGCAGCTTACATCTCTGTGTGTCTGTTTTCTCTAAGTTAACAACAACAACAACAAAAAACAAAGACAAGGAATCTACTATTGGCCTGCTTCCTTACAGAGTATGTTATCTAATGGACGGTCACGGTCAAGGCAGGTAACTCTGTGGGCCTTATAAAGGTTCGATAGCAGCTTTTAAACAAAATTGTGATTGGAAATAAAAGCCTGTAAGTTCAGAAGAGTCTGCTTTGGCTTTATCGATTTAAATGGTTCAGAAAATAGATTTGATTTTTGGTACAGAAGAACTTTAATAAAACTTGTTTCCAAATGGATTTTCTTTCAATATTTAATTATACATGAAAGGAAGCAAGTCCTAATAACTGGGTAACAAATAACTTAAGCCTTCGGATATCGTGTCTGAATTTCTGGGCATTTAAGTTAGCAAGTTTATCAGTAAGTTGAGAAGTTTCCACTGGACTTTTAAACTCAGCATGCTTGGATGTGAGGCCTCAAACTCCTTGACACTTGTGGACATTTCTAATGGGGAGATAGTTTGGAATCCAAATATTAACCACGCACCCCTCACTTGTGGCCACCATCACTAAACTACAATATACACTCTTGCCATCATGTGCACACACCACACACACACACACACACACACGGATTCAAAGCTAGGAAGAAAATAAATATTATCTGATGTGACAGAGAATAGTGAGGGGGCAGTAAAGAGTCTGCCTCTGTTTTTGATGTTTGACCACTGACAGTTTTCAAGCCACAGCCTTTTTTACTTTTGTCTCACACTGGACAGGCTGATTAAAACAAACAAACAACAAAAAGCCCTTTCATCCACACACCCAAACCCAGCTTCCAGAAACCTTTACCCGGCCCCACACCCCAGTCACAGTGACAAGCAAAGCCACTCACCACTCCCTGCCTGAGTCAAAGGAGCAGCTTGGGTGCCAGCCTGACTTACCCTAGAAAGCCTCATTATGTGAGCAATAAATCTTCTCATACCCTCTTGGTACACGTGTGGAGTCATCAGTTTTGACATCCAAACAAATTTTCCTCAGATGGGATCCACCTCACCCTCTGCAAAGCAACCATAAGACAGTGGGGGTAACGGTGTAGAAAAATTAATCTGTGGAGGCCTTTGAGGAAAAGCACTGAAGCTGAGACCTGAAGAAGGATCTAGCCTCTTAAGAAGCCAGAGGAAGGCCGGGCGCGGTGGCTCAAGCCTGTAATCCCAGCACTTTGGGAGGCCGAGACAGGTGGATCACGAGGTCAGGAGATCGAGACCATCCTGGCTAACACAGTGAAACCCCGTCTCTACTAAAAAAATACAAAAAACTAGCCGGGCGAGGTGGCGAGCGCCTGTAGTCCCAGCTACTCGGGAGGCTGAGGCAGGAGAATGGCGTAAATCCGGGAGGCGGAGCTTGCAGTGAGCAGAGATCTGGCCACTGCACTCCAGCCTGGGTGACAGAGCGAGACTCCACCTCAAAAAAAAAAAAAAAAAAGAAGCCAGAGGAAAGAGGATCCCAAGCAGGGCTAGTGGTAAGTGCAGCTGCCATGAAGCAAGAGGCCAGTCCTATTACAAGGAGGCAAAATAAAGCTAGAGTGGACAGAGAGTAAGTGAGGGAACTGGAGACCAGACAGGAGTCAGTTCCTGCAGAGCCTGAGGCTACAGCAAGAAGTTTGGACCTGATTCTAAATGTAGAGACGAGATTGTCGCTCAAAATGATGTCACATGTGCTCATGAAGACTTCTGTGAAAATTCTTTTAATTTACAAGGCAATATCTCTGATAATTCAAGGGAAGTTTTCCTCTTTTCTTTTAGGTACCTGGCTGTACAGAAATGAAAGTGACAAGGTCCTGGTGCAGTCGGTCTGTATACAGATCAGAGGGCAGATTCTGCAAAAGCTAGGTACCATCATCTAACACTTGCGTTTCTCAAGGCTCATTTACAAAGCCTGGCTGCATGGTTTCACGGTGGAATTTTCTTCTTTTATCTGGCTAAAATTGTTAATTTCCACTTGCCTTAGTTTCCTCATCGAAAAGAGAATGGCATTTAAGATCCTAGGAGTGTCACAAATATTAATAAATTTTTTTTCTAGTAAGCTTTGTTAGAGAGGTTCACAGTTGTATATTGTGATGTTAACTGTAGGGTTCCCAGTGTTACTTCTCACACCTGACTCAGTTCAGCAGGACTCCGTGTAATACGGTGACACCTTATACTATACCCACCGTGACACTGTATTCGTTCATTCCTTAAGGTATTCATGAATTTTTCAAGTTTATAGAATGCTAATATACTTTAGAATGCAAAATAAGGGTTTGAGAAATTTTAACAGGAGGTGGCAATTATTATTTTTGTAAAAATACTGAGAAAACTACATATATTATACATATTATATATACAAATGTATAATAATTCTATTTCCCAGTGAAATGGAAAAATTGTCTCTATTACAGTTGGAAAAACATTACTGTGTCAATCTAATCTAAGCCTGAGTTTTCCTAACAGGATCTAATGAGTCTTGTTTCTGTATTAGTTTTCAAAGGTATTGTCTCATACAAGAACACAGATACCAGCTGTTCCTCCCCTGTCCCTCTCCCTGCCCCTCTTTTTTTTTCAGGGATGTGGTATGAAGCAGCAGAGTTAATATGGGCCTCCATCGTAGGATATTTGTCACTTCCTCAGCCGGATAAAAAGGTGGTTTGTCTAGTGCTTATTTTTCTCCTTTCCTGTATTTGTCTTTAGATGATTATCTCTTTATGATACAATTCCATTTCTCATGTATCAATTTCATCTCTCCTATTTTTATTTATTTTTCATGAGCATAGGACCAGGTACAGTTAGTAACTTCCTTCTGTGTCTTGCTTCATCCTCACTCACATCTAGACTCTTGGGGCATAGATGGTGTTTTTATAATCGTTTGTAACTGTCCATTTATATATTTATCTCTACTGGTCCATTCATTTATCTGTTTTATTATATATTTAGCCTTTACTTGATTGCATAGCAAAGTTGAGATGGCCAAGTTGCTTATACGTAAAATCATTTTTCTTGAGTTGAGTGGGTGAAGACTTCAATTGTTTATGTAGCATCAAGTAGTATATGTCAATCCTACTTGACATTTTCATTTTTGGAATTCTGTGGGAATAGTCTGATTATCTGAAGCATCCGGTTATTACATTTCCCTGAGCTGTGTAAGCAATTGCTGTCTACGATTCTTTTACAATACAGACTGTGATGTGAACTCTTCCTTGGGCCAGTTATTCAGGCCTAGCAGTAGGGACAAGTTAGTACTGATCACCCAGTGAAACCCAACTGAGAAGTAGCTGTGTTTACATTAGGCCCACATGCCCTAGGATGTGTTGATCTTTCAAGCTCTGTGGCAGCCAATTTAAAAGTATCTCCAAGTCAGGGTATTATTACACAATGTATGCATATGTCAAAATGTCACACTGTATCCCATAAACATGTACAATTATTATATGTTGACTTTTAAAAATAGTATCTCCAGTGTCAGTAATAAAATAATAATAGGCAAATCATTCATATGGAGGGATAACCATTGCCTTTAGGCCATGAAATGAGAGCAGTAATCCACTGTGAATTCCCAATCTGTGTCTTGTCTGTGTTTTTCTTACAGGGCCTCTCCACGTCATTAGGTATACTGGCAGACATCTTTGTTTCCATGAGCAAGAATGATTATGAAAAGTTTAAAAACAATCCACAAATTAATTTGGTAATTATCATAACACTGAGTGGCATCATCTGTAAAACTGTCAATGGTGTCGTTGGTGGGTGATTAGTGGGTGTCTTTCTCAGGAGATTGGGAGGCAGGGAGCTCAGTGCTGCCCCTGCTACACAGATGGGAGGAATCCTGGGGAGGAGTCCTGGGGGGTCGTGTTTGGCTTTATTATACCAGCACTCAGCACTGTACCAGACACTCAGAGGGTGCTCAGAAAGTTACTGCTGAATGAATGAATGAATAAATGAATATCAACAAAATTATTTTGAGCCTCACTTCTTTCCGAGTATCATAAAATTCAGTTTCCAAACTTGGGCCATCTTGATGATAAAGGGGTAATAATTTTTAAACTTTATCATCATCATCTGTTTAAATCAGAGCATCAGTCCCTTGTTCCAGGCTCTCGTCCTTGATAATAATGACTGCTAATTTTTATATATCACTTTACAACTCAAAAAAGTGTATATATCTCTACATAAAACCCTCTGAGGAGGGTACAGCAAATTATGTCACTCCATTTTAGAGGAAAATAAAATGCAGTGCAGAGAAACTAACTAACCTCTGCAGTTTACACAACCAGTAAGAGAGAGAACTGGGAGCTGAGTGCAGGTCTCTGACCAGCCCAGAGAAGTGGCAAGGATGTTCTGCTGCTCTTCACACTGTGCTGAAATGGAGTGTTTATTATCATCTATATTGCCATTTTCATTAAAGACCCCAATCACAATGGTAACCATGCTCAGTACTAATTAGTGTAGCAAAAGAACACATATAGCTTGCTGATGGTAATCTGAATCTAAGATGTTGCTTTTTCTGTTTGACCAAAACAGGAGGATCATGTCCCTTGTTCACTGAAGTTATCCTTGATGACTGTTTAGAATTGCACACTTCCCTCCCATCCTGGACCTCCTTAACCCCTTCTCCATTTATTTTCTCTCCAGAACATTTGTCATCATCTCAAATACTATACACTTCACTTGTTTTGTATATTGACTGATCGCTCCCCCACAACAGAAAGTAAGCTCCTTGCAGGCTCACTGCCTGCTGTCTCCTGTGTCTAGAACAGGCCCTGGCATGGGGAGGTACTCTGTACCTATTTATAGAATTAATAAATGAATCCTAATTGCTGTGAAATCATCAATTAAAGGACTCTTGGCCAAGAGCAGTGCAGAAATCAATTAATCTGACTGCAAAATTTGCAGGTTCCTTTGAACAAAGAACTGCCACCATCTTCCAAAGAAGCTCACCCAAATTATTGCACAGGTGTGTGGCTGCTGGGAAAAAGCAAAGTCAACACCTTGTGGTCTTTAGACCCACTTACTCTTTATTGACACTGTTCTGAATGGGTTGTGGTGAGGAGTCCCTTGAAATCATGAAAGAAAAGCAAAACTATTTCATAGCCTGTTTTTTCCTCATTGATAATTAATTATCACCATTCCACTTAGCCTCCTGTTTTCTCACAGAGCCTGCTGAAGGAGTTTGACCACCATGTGCTGTCCGCCGCAGAAGCCTGCAAGCTGGCAGCTGCCTTCAGTGCCTACACGCCACTCTTCGTGCTCACAGCTGTGGTAAACAGAGTGCGGCCCTTCCTCAAACCCCCACAGGACCTCTCCCCAGGGTGCTTTCCGATGTAATCAGTGAGAAGGGAAAGGTTTAACCTTCAAATAGGCTTTGTGTCTCATCAGTGGCAATTGTGATAAGACTCCACACCACATGTGGAAAAATTTTATCTGTCGGAGTTTTGACAGCCTGCTAGGAGCTAAGTTAATTCAGCCCAAGGATAGAATGTTGTCTGTTGTGAAGCAGTGGTTCCCAAGCCTGAGTGCACATCAAAATCACCTGAGGAACCTTCTCAAAATATGTATTCCAGCCAGGCATGGTGGCTCACACCTGTAATCCCAACACTTTGGGAGGCCAAGGTAGGAGGATGACTTGAGCCCAAAATTTCAAGACTAGCCTGAGCAACATGGTGAGATTTTGTCTCTACAAAAAATTAAAAAATAAAAATTGCCCAGGTGTGGTGGTTCACGCCTGTAGTCCCAGGTACCAGGGAGGCTGAGGTGGGAGGATCATGTGAGCCTGGCAGGTTGAGTTTGCAGTGAGCTGAGATTGCACCACTGCACTCCAACCTGGGTAACAGAGCAAGACCCTATCTCAAAAAAAAAAAAAAAAAAAAAAAGGAAAAAAGGAAAGAAAGAAAGAAAGAAAAAATAAGAAACAAAGAAAGGCTACACATTTCTGAGCTCTGCCCTAGATCCACTAAATGCAAATCTCTGGGGTTGGTATCCAAAAATCTTTAATTTTAGAATATTGCCCAGGTGATTCAAATGCACAGATGCATTTGGATACCAATGCCCTATTGTTTCGACTATTAAATGAATGATGTATTCATATATAGCATCCTTATTTGCATAGAGAAACTTATATCCATTTCCATGGATGGACTCTGTTAAAACTAACAACAGCAACAAACACAAGTCTATCGTCTTTAATCAAAATGTATCCGAAATACAATAGGATGGTAATTGAAGCTAATTTCTTACCCCTTCATGTCAGCCAATCGCTTACATCCCCATCCCTTCTTCTGATTCACCAAAAAGACCTCGGGTCCTTAACTCAATGTTTGCTGTACGTTTTCCTTAGAATGTTTGTGGCATGTGTTCATTTTTCTATAATATTTCAAATGACTGTCTTCCAGAAATGAAAAGTTTGTCCTGATTCACTTCCAGTTTTTAATTCAATATCTGATTTGGTATTCGGTATTTTTCCCAGAATATCCGTGGCACGTGCTTATTGTCATATAGTAGTTCAAATGACTGTCCTCCAGAAATGAAAAACTTTTATCTGTGTGAAGCCAAAGAGGCCTTTGAGATTGGCCTTCTCACCAAGAGAGATGATGAGCCTGTTACTGGAAAACAGGAGCTTCACAGCTTTGTCAAAGCTGCTTTTGGTCTCACCACAGTGCACAGAAGGCTCCATGGGGAGACAGGGACAGTCCATGCAGCAATTCAGCTCTGTAAGGAAGCGATGGGGAAGCTGTACAATTTCAGCACTTCCTCCAGAAGTCAGGACAGAGAAGCCCTGTCTCAAGAAATTATGTCTGTGATTGCCCAGGTGAAGGAACATTTACAAGTTCAAAGCTTCTCAAATTTAGATGACAGATCTTATGTTCCAGAGAGTTTCAAGTGCAGGTTGGATAAACTTATCTTGCATGGGCAAGTGGATTTCCAAAAAATCCTTGACACCTATTCACAGCACCATACTTCGGTGTGTGAAGTATTTGAAAGTGATTGTGGAAACAACAAAAATGAACAGAAAGGTGCAAAAACAGGAGTCTGTATCACTGCTCTAAAAACAGAAACAAAAAATGTAGATACTGTGAGTACTACTCAAGAAAAGCCACATTGTCAAAGAGACACAGGAATATCTTCCTCTCTAATGGCTAAGAATGTTCAGAGGGAACTCAGAAGGGGAGGAAGGAGAAACTGGACCCATTCTGACGTATTTCGAGTCTCCTTGGATCAAGATGTAGAGACTGAGACTGAGCCATCGGACTACAGCAATGGTGGGGGAGCTGTTTTCAACAAGTCTCTGAGTGGCAGCCAGAGCTCCAGTGCTTGGAGCAACTTATCAGGGTTTAGTTCCTCTGCAAGCTGGGAGGAAGTGAATTATCATGTTGATGACAGGTCAGCCAGAAAAGAGCCTGGCAAAGAACATCTGGTGGACACTCAGTGTTCCACTGCCTTGTCTGAGGAGCTAGAGAATGACAGGGAAAGCAGAGCTGTGCATTCATTGCGTTCAGAGCTTCAGGATCTCTCTCTTCAGGAACCCAAAGATGACAATGCAGAGCCTTCTCAAAATCAGCCGCATGAACAGTTGCCCTTGACACCCTTCCCTCCTAATAATATCCCAGGTACTTTCTTGGCCCCTGGTGCAGGGCTTCTAGAAGGAGCTCCAGAAGGTATCCAGGAAGTCAGAAATATGGCACCCAGAAATACTTCTGCTCACTCCAGACCCTCATATGGTTCTGCTTCTTGGTCTTCTGATTCTGGTAGGCCCAAGAATATGGGCACACATCCTTCAGTCCAAGATGAAGAAGCCTTTGAAATAATTGATGAGTTTCCAGAAACCAACTGTGATGCGAAAGACAGGCAGGAGAAAGAGCAGGGAGAAGAAATCGGTACAAGAGGCACAGGCCCTACATTTAAAGCTAGTCCCTCCTGGGTTGACCCAGAAGGAGAAACAGCAGAAAGCACTGAAGATGTACCCTTAGACTTTCACAGGGTCATGCACAATTCTCTGGGAAACATTTCCATGCTGCCATATAGCTCCTTCACCCCTAATCGGCCTGTTCAAAATTCTGACTCCAGAAAAAGTGGTGGTTCAGTCGCAGAGCAGGGCATCGACCCTGATGCCTCCACGGTGGATGAGGAGGGGCAACTGCTCGACAGCACGGATGTCCCCTGTACAAATGGACTTGGCTCTCACAGACTGTGCACTCTGAGAGAGCTGCCTGGTCAGAGGGCTAAGACCCCCAATTCCTCTGTAAACAGTAACATCCTCTTCCCTGTCCTCAGCGAGGACTGCACTACCACAGAGGAAGGAAATGAGCCTGGAAACGTGCCAAATTACAGCCAGAACTCCAGTTCATCCTCAGCGTGGTGGCTGAAATCACCTGTGTTTTCCAGCGGTTCTTCTGAGGGGGACAGTCCTTGGTCCTATCTGAATTCCAGTGGGAGTTCTTGGGTTTCATTGCCGGGAAAGACAAGGCAAGAGATCCTTGAGGCTCGCACCTTGCAACCTGATGACTTTGAAAAGCTCTTGGCAGGAGTGAGGCATGATTGGCTGTTTCAGAGACTAGAGAATACGGGGATTTTTAAGCCCAGCCAACTCCACCGAGCACATAGTAAGTACAAACTTTTCAGTAGGTCCCCCCTCAGGAAGCAGCTATGTTGGGGCGCTCTGAAAAGCTTGGTATGTAGATCACTTAAAGCTCATGAAAGGAATAGACCCCTGGTGTGCTTTGTGAGTTCACAGAGAAATGTATGCTTCAGGGGTCTCCCTCACTCTCTGTGATGGACCTTAATGGTTGTAAAGAGGCTTGCTCAGGCTACCTTGCATACTGGAGGTTTGCTCTAAGGACACACAAGGCAGTGAGGGAGACAGGAAACTCAGAGGACTCCGGCACAACCATCACTAAGGGTTGAAAACAGCTCTGGAGGCCGTCTCATCCACTCAGCATCTATCTTCTTCACTGATTCTCATTACCAAGCAGGTGATTTTAACAGGCTGGATGCCATATTATCTGCTCAGCATCTATCTTCTCCTTTGACTCTTTTTACCAACCAACTGATTTTTCTCTATCCCCATTAGAATTCTGTGGGGACATGGTTTGACCTAGTTAAATATCATCTTTCTATTGGGCAGGGACTTTTTACACCTGTCTACCTAAGCGGTTTCTTGCCAGCCAATTGGTTGGTCAAGTGTGTCCTTGTCTCCCATTCATGTTGCTATAACAAAATGCCATCAACTGGGTATCATATGAACAACAGAAATTTATTCCTCATAATTCTGGAGCCTGGAAGTCCAGGATGAAGGTACTGCTTTCTGGTTCACTGACAGCGCTTTTTCTCTGTATCCTCACATAGTGGAAGGGGGAAGGGTTTCTCTGAGGTCTCTATTATGAGGGCAGTCATCCCATCTATGAGGAATCTACCCCTCAGCACCTAATCACCTCCCAAAGGCTCCAACACCCAACACCATCACCTTGTGGGTTAGAACTTCAACATGTGAATTTAGGGGCGATAAAAACTTCCAGACTACAGTACCCCTACTGTTGCAATCAGCAGCTACTTCTTGCTTAAGGAACAGCCCAATGTCACTGCCCAAAGCAGGAAGCCTGGGCTGGAGCCACCTAGTAGTCAATGTCTAACACAGCTTAAAAGTGGTAGACAAGCCGGGAGGAAGACAGAAGGAGATTCTTCTCTTAGCTCAGGAATCACATCAAAATGCCCTCCTACTATACAGAAAAATGATTTGAATGATTAAAAAAAGATTGTAAAGCACATCCCAGAAGAAACAAACTACATGGATTGCTAAGCACTGGCTACTAAATAGTAGTTCTCAACCCTGGCGCCACATGAGAATCTTCTGGGGAGCTTTTAAAAACTTCCAATGCGTCACCCCAGAGATTTCCATCTAATGGGTCTGGAGTGTGGACCCAGGATCATTATTTCTTATGAGCTCTCCGGTGATTCTGCTTAAAGCCACTGTTGAGAGCTTCTGCTTCAAAGTATTCCAATGTTTTGCCTGCCACCTTGAAGTCCGACTAAAATACACATCACATTGTCACCAAAAAAAAGCAAAAATTTCCAGCAATAGGGTTTTCTTACTTACTGTGAGATTCTGCAATTTTGGAATCACATTTCTTACAATGAGGTAACTGCTTTCTTGTTGTTTGTTATTGTTTGCTAATTTGTGGATGAAATACCTTCGAGGAAGCAAGGCCCAAAATGGCAGAAACAAAACAATGATTCCCTTCCTCTTTTCTTCTCTCAATTCATCACCCGTCCTGTGTGTGGACAGACAACTCACCTTCCATTTCCATCCACCTTCTCTAACTGAGTCACCCAACCCTAGTCACCATCTCACCCAGTCTGTAGGTAACCCCTTCCCAGAACTGTCAGTTTATCTTGCTTTAAGTATTTTTCTCTCCCACATGTCCCATTCATTTATCTATTTTCACAATCTAGACACAGGTCTTTTGTTTACTTCATTTTAATTCCAACCAAAGTATTGTACTCCTTCCTTAGGATTCATGTGGGTCTTTCTCCTCAAAGAGATGCTTTCTTACTTAGCACTGTTCTTCCTTTCTTTAAGGTGGAGACTGCCCCTCCTTTTTCCTCTGTCTTTTCCTTTTTTCAGTTGAGTTCACATGTTTTTACAGTAGCTACATTTTCTCAAATAATTTCCAAACTTTCTCAACCTAAAACAATGAAAAGAAAATTAGGGTGCACTTGAATATATAATGCTAGGATTCCCAGAGCTGCCAGGAGCCTATTAGGTAAAATTATCTAGTTTATTTCTATTCATGTGATCTGCCATCAGTAGTAGCTTCTATTATTTGGGATCCCCAGGTAATAATAGTAAGTTGCAAACATGTGTCACTTGTCCTAAAATGGTCTCTGAGACTTTCTGATTTTAAAATTTCTTTATTTTCCACTACTTTCATATAGAATCTTCATGCTTATCTTCATCCCTTTTCATCACAAATAAGGGATTTTGTGACTCAAAGGCTATTCCTCATTGTAATTTATAAAGTGTTACCTTTTTATTATTTCTCACTAACTTTTTAATACTGGAGTTGTCATAGAAGAGATGAAAATTAGAGAAAAATGTATAAAACAGTGAAGATTTCAGGTGAGCTGGTGTAAGACCTGTGTCGCATCAGCTTTATTCATGAATTGTAACATCCTTTTGAAAATAAGATTCATTTTCTTCTTTTTTTTTTCCAGCTGCTCTTTTGTTAAAATATTCAAAAAAGTCTGAACTGTGGACAGCCCAGGAAACTGCTGTCTATTTGGGGGACTACTTGACTGTGAAGAAAAAAGGCAGACAAAGAAATGCTTTTTGGGTTCATCATCTTCATCAAGAAGAAATTCTGGGGAGGTATTACTTAAAAACATTTGTATACTAATGTAAGATGAGCTAACCTTGCCCTTCTGTTAAGTAATCACTCATGAGACTTTGTAGGGGCTGAAAAACTTAGCCAAAATATATTTTCAGATTTCTACGCGTCTTTCTTTTCATTATTAATTAATTAACAACAGTTACCATATATTGAAGACCCACGTTATATCAGCTGTTTTGCTGGATGTTTTAGCTACAGGACCTCAAACCCATCAGGGAAACATTATTGGCCATATTGTACTGATAAGAAAAATAAAGTTCCTTGTCACATGGCAGGCCAGAGAGCCTTCAATATTCACTAAAAATGCTGGCAAAAAGGGTAAATTATGAAAAGCACACTTTTAAGTAAATAGGTGAGCCTGAAAAAAGGCAGGAAAATCCTGAGGCCAGGGATGAAGCCTGTTCAGGGATATAAGTGATTGCTGAACCCTTTACGAATCCCACATAGGAGTTTGGGGCAGGGGTGGAGTGAGGGTGCAGCCAGTGACAAAAGCTATACGCAGAAGGGAATGAGTTCAGATACCACTCATACAAAGCAGGGAATCAGGAATGGCTACATCCCCAGGATAAATGGTATATTTATTAACCCTGCCCCAGTGAAGTAAATGCCTGGAAAGTTTTTGATTTGGCCTTAGTTCTTAATAAAATTTTTAAACAAAAACTCACCTGAAAAATTAGTAGCCACAGGTGGTCTTCACTGGGTTTAGGACATAATTTTATATCATTTGTATATTTTAAAAGACCTATAAGCCATGACTTTTCATTTAAAGTTGGCCTTATTATTTGCTCAAATCCAAATAGTGTAAGAAATAAATAGAAATAGAGAAATCAAGTGACTCTGTAAGCAGTGGAAGTACATTTCTTGAAAAGATTATTGATTATTATCATTATTATGGTAAACATGTGCCAGGCCCTGTTTTAAGTGATTTATATGCTAATTCAATTAATCTTTACAAAACCCTCTGAAGGTAGATACTGTTATTATTCTTACTTTACAGATGAGGGAACTGAGTCCCAGAGATGTTAAGGAATTGCCCAAAATCACATGTCTAAGCAGTAGGGGCAGGTGCTGAGACTTAAATTGTGTCTCCCAAAACTCAATATTGAAGTTCTGAGTACTTCAGACTACGATCTTATTTGGAAATAGAGGGATTGCAGATGTAATTGGTGAAGTGAAGATGAAGTCATACTGGAGTAGGGTGGGCCCCTGATCCAATATGACTGATATCCTTATAAAAAGAGGAAATTTGGAGATAAACACAGACACAGAGAGAATGCCATGTGAAGACTGTAGTTATGTTGCCTCATAGTAAAGAACTGCCAGAAGCTGGGAGAGAGCCTGAAACAGATTCTTCCTTAGAGCCTTCAGCAGGATGCTGGCCCCGCTGGAACTTTGATCTTAGACCACTATAGGCTTCAGAACAGTGAGAAAATCAATTTCTGTTATTTAAGCCACCCAGTTGGTGGCATGTTGTGACAGCAGCCCTGATACACCAGAGTACACCATAGGAGGACCTGAGATAAGAAATAAGTTGAGGATAAGAGACGTAAAGAATGGAGTCAGAGAGTTCAATGTATTTCTGGTCAGAAGAAAATAGCAGAAAGAGAGCAAAAGCAATATTTGAACAGATACTTTCTGGTAATTTTTCAGAATTGCCAAAATACACTAATCTTGAAATACAGAAATCACAATGAATCATAAGGACGGAAGGGAAAGGAGGAAAGAAGCTGGAAGGAAGCAGGAAGGGAAGAAGGCGGGCAGTCAGACATCCACTTCTAGGTACACAGTAGTCAAACTCCAAGCACTAAGGACAAAGAAACCATTTTAAAATCAGTCAAAGAAAAAAGACGTATTACCTACACAGAAATATTAATTTGACCTACAGCTGGTTTCTTCGTAGCAACAATGGAAGTCAGAGACAATGGAAGTCATATACTTAGAGCAACTCTCTTTTATGGAGGAAGGCAAAATAAAGACATTTGCAGCTTAAAAGGAAAAATGACCATGGCAGTTTACCATGAACAAATCCTTACTGAAGAAAAATGATCCCAGAAAAAAAATGGTACAAGATGAGAGAAGATACGGGCCTCTGTTCTCAGATTGATGATCCCATAACTAGGACTGGAGGTCTTCCAGCAGAATGTTCAGGAAATGCTCCAGTAGCCAGTACTCACAGGGTTCACTCTCTTGTGCACACCTCTGGCATCAGTCAACAGAATTCTGAATTAGTTCAAACCCTCTGTAGGTCTTGGGGTCTCTCCATAGCAGAACTGCCTAAAGCACTGATATAGCATCTCTATTACAACAACTGCTCATCTGCAGGCTGCCTTCTGAGGCCATACTGCAGCCTGCTCTATCAGATTTCCTTTCTGGTCTTCAGGAGTCTGAATGGCCAAAACCCCAGCCTCCTTAAGTTCCATTATTATATAGGATTCAGAAATTTCTGGAGAGAGTTTACCCTGGTTGAAGTCTATGACTCAAGCAATTCCCCTTGATTTTTGGTGGTCACTCTGGGCACATGTGAAATTACTCACAAATTCACACCAGTTTACAGCAAGTATAAACTACAGTAAAGTGCAGCAGTGTTTTGCTTCTTTCCGCATGTAATCATTTACTGCCTTGTGTCTTCCCACACCAACTGTCTATTAGCTCTTGAAATATACAAATCATGTCTCACACTTTCTTCGAGTCACTCAAGACTAGCACAGTGTTATGCACATAAGAGGTGTTGATAGATAATAAGTATTCATAGAAATGAAGTAATCATAAAAGGAAGGGATAGAGGAAGGCTTCAGATTGATGAACTGACTATATAAGACCACACTGCAGGGAGTGGAAGATCTTGACTCCAGAATCCATGTGCATTCCAGTATACTTTGCAACCCCCTTGTCTTACCAGAGGTCTGGAGAACTACTACATTAAGCGACACTTTCCCTTTATAACCAATATCTCTCTGGATCAGCTAGAATGAGTGAGTTCCATTGTTCAAGTAGCTCTTACAAAATTATTTGAATCTTGAGATAAGTCAAAATAATTAATATTCACTGTCTAAGGCAGAAAAAGAGATCTTTCGAGCATTCTTGCATATGTCTTTGATCTCCTCTCTCTTACTCCATAGTAAGTAAGAGAGCACTTTCGCATTTTGTTGTGTGGATTTTCTTCATTCCTAGGTATGTTGGGAAAGACTATAAGGAGCAGAAGGGTCTCTGGCACCACTTTACTGATGTAGAGCGGCAGATGACCGCACAGCACTATGTGACAGAATTTAACAAGAGACTCTACGAACAAAACATTCCCACGCAGATATTCTACATCCCATCCACAATATTACTGGTAAGATTATCCTGAACACATCATTTGGATCTTCCAAATCACACTTGAATATCAATTAATCTGAGTATCTGGTTCCACATAGTCAGGCTAGCATTTTTAGCAAACTATCCTTGTGTGTTGTCCCTGTACCTTCCAAGAGAGAAAGAACCCTAAAGATTGTATCTAGTACAAACTATCTCCTCAACATGATGCATAAATCCCGTTTTATGTCTGTTGGCCTCACCCCTTGCAACCAAGTGGTTACTAAGTCAAAGCTTACATATCTTCAGCAAGAAAAAATAATTGTTCCCCTTTCACTTTCAAATAATCGTAATTGTTAGAAAGTTCTTAGACTTGGCCCAAATCTATCTTTCTCTAACTTCCGTCCATGGATTACAGCTCTCCCTCCTGGGACCATGAAGACCAGTCTCTCTTCACTAACATACCCCTTTCAATAGATAAAGGCAAATATTCCCATTGAGTTTTCTCTTCTTTGGATCAAGAATGCCTTGCTACCCTGAATATATTAGATCCTTAGTGCATTCATACTTGCAATAATTTTTTCATTGGCCAGAGACATTTTTAGACCCATCTTTTCCTAATCGTAATAATTATCATCCATTTCATACCTTCTTTATGTCACTCACTGTGCCAGGCAGTTTGCAAACCTTAACTCTAACCTTTGAAACAACTCCACAAAGTAGCATAGAAACACTTAAACTGATATTTCAACCTAGAGTCCCAGAGCATGATCTAACTTCATGTCCTGGTAACCTAGCCTCCAGGAAAGGTCACCTCATGGCCTAAATCTTAAGTGAGCAGTTTAATATGTGAATAATAATAAATTTAAGTTCTATGACATACCACATGCCATGTTAAGCATTTTACATGCGTTTCCTTGCATAATCCCTTTAACAAGCCTAAAAGGTAGTTATGATTATACCACTTTACCCATGATGAAATTGAAGCTCAGAGAAGCAAAGTGGCAGAGCCTAGGTTCAAACCAAGATTTACCCAAGTCCAAAGACAATGGCCTTTACCATTATGCTGTAATGTTTCCCATTGCTATTTTTCAGATTTTAGAGGACAAGACAATAAAGGGATGTATCAGTGTGGAACCTTACATACTGGGAGAATTTGTAAAATTGTCAAATAATACGAAAGTGGTGAAAACAGAATACAAAGCCACAGAATATGGCTTGGCCTATGGCCATTTTTCTTATGAGTTTTCTAATCATAGAGATGTTGTGGTCGATTTACAAGGTATGTGAAACTGGGAATTATTTTTATTTTCGATATTATATGTAAAGTGAAGTTTTGTAACTAGCTTCCCTAATTTTAATTTAATAGATTGTTCTCTGTATAGGCTACTATTTGGAGTTAACTTAATTGATCTTACTATATATAGCAAATAATTCCTGAAAGAAAAAAATGCCCAAAACTTCTACAAATGTCTACAGTATCACATAATCAGTGAGAGGGTCTGGTTTATGTTCTGTTGGGCTTCGTACCAGAGCATATCTATAACAGCTTTTTTTGTTTCACTCAAGTAGATTTGACTGATGTATATTTCTTATCATTGCATTTTCTTCACGTGTCGAAATCTTCTTTCCACTTTTCCTTTTCTCCAGTCCCTTACCCTTATTAAAAGTGTGATGTTGGGTTTCATAATGGGGGTCATTATAGAACAGAAATCTGTATCCTTAAGCTATGTACTTAAATAAGACTACTTTTCAATTCTACCTTAATATTTTAATTTTGTTTTAGTTTGTCTGGTATTTTATCCATTAGAATTTTTATTAGAAAATACCCTATACTTCATGTAAATTATAAGTAAGATTTATTATAATTATTTATAGTTATGGTTCCATGGACATCCCAGGACCTTCCCTATTCCACTCTAAAAGCATTTATCACTCTGTTATATATTTAACTTTTGATCTGTTCCCCTTCACAAGAATGCTAGCTCAATGAGTACAAAGATTTTTGACTACCTTGTTCAATCGGTACCACCAGTGCCTAAAATAGTGTTTTATAGAGTGTCTGCACTCAATAAATATTTGTTGAATGAACAGATGAGTTTATGAATTAATAAGTCACTAAAGAAATTTCTGAATCATGAAAGAAATATTCCATATTATGATATTGATAATTATTCAAAGTGTATTTTATTGCTTTCTAATACCTTGAAAATTGGTGATCTGGGGATGTCATATTTGACAAATATAATTACCCAATATTTAATTATTCTTAAACCAATAACTGGAATACGCAATCCAAATTCTTTACCAGGAATTTACTAACTATAAACCACAGGATGGCCAAGTGTTTGAAGTATCTCTTTAAGTGTGTGTGTGTGTGTGTGTGTATTTTTATAAACATTTGATGGACATTTACAAGGAATTTAATACTCAGGTGTGCTCATTTCTCTTTCAGGTTGGGTAACCGGTAATGGAAAAGGACTCATCTACCTCACAGATCCCCAGATTCACTCTGTTGATCAGAAAGATGTCACTACCAATTTTGGAAAAAGAGGAATTTTTTACTTCTTTAATAACCAGCATGTGGAATGTAATGAAATCTGCCATCGTCTTTCTTTGACTAGACCTTCAGTGGAGAAACCATATAAGTCATAGGCTGTATGGATTGGTAATGTGACAGACCTTAGTGATGCTCTCAAATATCTGGTTCTTTCCTTCCAGGCACATAGAATATGGCACAGTCTGGTCCTTTGGGGCTTAGGCAGGGCCGTGACACAGGTTCTGGCCAATGATTTGTGAGAGGAATTGATCAGTATCACTTTTAAGTCCTGCATTTAATCAGCAGCACGAGATCCTGCAGAGCCTCCTTCCCTCTGCCACAGTTACCAAGAATGTGTCAGGAGACTGCTGCTTCTGGGCATAAGTCCTGCAAGGAAAGCAACATGGAAAACAGCCCCAACTCACCCATAAGGGATGCAAAGCACTGCTGAGAAAGGCATGTGTTGTTTAAGCCATTGAGATGTTAGAGCTTTTTGTCACTATCAAGACTGATGCTACTGGGGCTTTTCCTATTGATTTGGAAGTTCTTCACATATTAAAAAAATGTGAGCCTTTGTGATACAAATTCAATTTGTTTTTCTCGCTTTTGACATTTGACTTGCATAAAATGTTTATCTGTGCATAATTTTTTATATAGTTGAATTCATCAATCTTTTACTTTATATGGCTTTTTGGTTATGTATAATATTTAGATCTTCCTTATACTCTGAGTTTCTTTCTTTTTAATTCTCCCATATTTCCTTCTAGTATAATTAAATCTGTAAAAAGTAAGATGGAAGAGTGGTACAATTTTCCTTATCCAGTCTGCCCTTGATGGGCATATAGGTAGACTGGATAAAGAAAATGTGGTACATATACACCATGGAACACTATGTGTATTAGTCCACTCTCATACTGCTCTGAAGAAATACCTGAGACTGGGTAATTTAGAAAGGAAAGAGGTTAAAGTAACTCACAGTTCCACATGACTGGGGAGACCTCAGGAAACTTACAATCATGGCAGAAGGCACCTCTTCATAGGGTAGCAGGATAGAGAATGAGTGCCAGCAGGGGAAATGCCAGATACTTATAAAACCATCAGATCTTGTGAGAATTCATTCACAATCATGAGAACAGCATGGGAAAAACTGCCTCAATTACCTCCCACCAGGTCCTTCCCATGACACATGGGAATTATGGGATTGCAATTCAAGATGAGATCTGGGTGGGGACACAAAGCCAAACCATATCACCATGTAACCATAAAAAAGAATGAGATCATGTCATTTGCAGGGACATGGATAGAGCTGAAGGCCATTATTTTTAGCAAACTAATGCAAGAACAGAAAACTAAATATCACTTGTTCTCACTTACAGGTGGGAGCTAAGTGATGAGAGCAGGTGGACACATAGAGGGAACAACACACACCAGGGCTTATCAGAGGGTGGAGGGTGGGAGGAGGGAGAGGATCAGGAAAAATAACTAATGCGTACTAGGCTTAATACCTGGGTGATGAAGTAATTCGCACAACAAACCCCCATGACACAAACCTGCACATGTACCACTGAACTTAAAATAAAAGTAAAAAAGAAAACAACAATATCATTGAATGTTGTGAACTTTATGAATATACCAAAACCATTGGACTAGACACTCAAAGGGTGAATTTTATGGTAGGTAAGTTATATCTCAATAAAGTTTTTTTTTAAAAAAAGAATATTCTTCAAAAAAAAAAATGATACATTTTCCTGGCTACCACAGTCCATCCCTTTCCCGACACAGATCTACTTCTTCACACAGGTTTAGGAAAGAGCTCCTCCGTGATCTTACTGAAAGAAACAAAAGGGCGACCAGTGAGATAAAACAATTCTTTTCTGCAGTTACTCTTGGGGGCTGCAACTGATGCTCACTCTCCCTGTCCTCCACTGTTCATTCTAAGTTTCCCTCAGCCTTAACTATTAGCTCAGGAGGTCTGGGCGGCTTACCTGGTTGGTGAGACTCAAATTTGCATACATGATCTTCATGTATCAAGTCTGAACACTTGATTGTTTATACTCTTCTCAATTTGAAGTTGCTGCACATGTCTCTTCACAGTTGCAACTGAGGCAAGGAAGACCCATTCCAGTCTCCTGCTGTGGGGATCACAGTTGATTGACACTCCCAGCTTCCACTCCTTTGAAACCATCACGGTGTTTATGCTGAAACCATGTTGCCCTCAATGTGCTGTCAGCCAGTGACTAAGCATGACAAGGACACTAGTCTCAGAATATTTCTAACTGCTGACTGTGACTGTGGAACAAAGTCTTGCCACTGGCCTAACCAAAACTTTCTTAAGGCCGGGCGTGGTGGCTCAGGCCTGTAATCCCAGCACTTTGGGAGGCCGAGGCAGGTGGATCACGTGAGGTCAAGAGTTCAAGACCAGCTTGGCCAACATGGTGAAACCCCACCTCTACTAAAAATACAAAAAAAAAAAAAAAAAATGCTGGTCATGGCTAATTTTCCAGGAGGCAGAGCTTGCAGTGAGCTGAGATCGCATCACTACACTCCAGCCTGGGTGACAGAGCAAGACTCCATCTCAAAAAACAAAAACAAACAAACAAAAAACCCTTTGCTCTCTCCTTTTATAGGTGTCAGGACCACACCATGGTCCCCTGCCTACTCTTGTTCCCTCCAACTGATCCTTTACAGTCATTTCTCCCAATAGAGGTCTTTCATGTTTAATCCTTTCCTGCTATCTGCTTCTTGGAAAACCAAAGTTAACACATGCTTATTAAGGAAATGAAAAAAAATGTAATCTATTCTACTAACAAAGTAAAGGGAGAAAATCATGTAATTTCACAAGATGCAGAAAATTGTTTCATAAAATTCAAAATCAACTCATGGTAAAAGAAAAAAACAAGCTCTTTGAAAACTAGAAATAAAGAAAAGTTTTCTAAATCTGACAAAGGTTTTTTCTTTTAAACTTAAATCAGCAATACCATAATTAATAGTGAAGCAATTAAAACTTTTAAGTTGAGAAAAGGAACAAGACAAATTTGCCTACTATCCCAATTCTATTCAATGTCATAGAAGTCCAACTAATAAACATAGAAAGACTAAAACTAGAAAATCATGATTTTGCATCCATTAATGAAATAATGGATCTGGGCAGAAAGCATTGATGGCTTCTAAAACTATTAGGGGAAAATTAGATGGGGAACTTTATAACGGAAGAATCAGGCTGATGCTACTCACACTTCAATCAATCTGATCACTAAAAGTGGGATAACAAATCAGTGATAAAATGACATTTTTTAGTCAATTGGGGATTTTGAATATGGACTGAGTGTTAGACAAAACGATGAAGTGATGTCTTAAGAACATTCAACCAAAAGAAAAATTTGGAGAAAGATATGAAAGCAGCTTGACTCTTTGGGGTTAATGTTGAAGGGAGATGGTTACATAGCAATTCATTGTACCAGTGTTTCTACTTTTCTATATATTTTTAAATCTCCAAAAACAAAAATTCTTAAATGTAATGTCATGGAAAGGAAGAGATACCAAGAAAAGTTTGAAGAATCAATAGATAAAGAAGATGAAAACCAAGATTGGTATCAAACAAACTAATCAGGAAAGAATATAAGGAGGAGCATTCAGCAGTGTGAAATCCAGCAGAAAAAAATCAAGAAAAAAAAACAATTTTTGGGGTGAAAGACGAAACAGTGAAAAAAGATTGCTGACAGCAAAAAGAGGCTGTTAATTGACAGAGTGACCTTTGAGATGTTGTAGAAGGGGGTCAACAAACTATGATCCATGAGGTCAAAGCTGCTGACATCTGTTTTTGTAAATAAAATTTTATTGGAACATAGTCACTTATTCAATTATGTTCTATCTACAGCTGCTTTTGTGTTGCAATAGCAGAACTGAGTAACATTGTGACATAGACAGGATTTTGCAAAGTTAAAAATATTTACTATATGGACCTTTACAGAAAAAGTTTGTGAATCCCTGTTTGTGGAAGACGAAATTGGGAATAAAGTTCAGGATATTTACATTTAGAAAGAAATATGGTTATTTCTACCGACACAGAAGAAAAGGAAGAGCAACAATGGGTGAAAAAACTGGAAATTGGAGGTGATAAAGAAGTAAATTGATGGAAAGCACCTCAGAGCCCACTTTTCTTTGTTAAGTCAAAAAGCTAGGATATCTGCTAAGTGAGATGGCATTGGCATAACTAGGAATTTTAGAGAAATAAAGATTTTGTAGCAATGTATATCTCTGAGTTATAAAAAGCAGAAATAGTACTATTGAGAGGAATTTGCAAGAAATTACATTTTTTAAATATCTTTAAATTTTTATTTATGTCATCACCCATATACCCAACACCCGATTGAAGAAATTAAATGTAATACTGTTTTTGAAGCCTCCATCTCTGATCTCTACTTCCTCGTCTATCCAAGAGAAAATTACTGTCCAGAAATTGTTGGTTATCATTCCCCTTACTATTGTTGCACATTCACTTTTATTTAATGTTGTTATACATTCATATATTGCATAAAAGTAACAATAAATATCCAGTATTCTTTTAAAATGTTCAAAGCTTTGTATAAACATTTTTAAAGGCCAGATTAGTTTTTAAAAAGTCAAATTGATTTTCTAGAAAATGAAAAATACAGTAATTGACTATATAACTTACTAGAAAGTTTAAACAGCAGATTAGACATAGTTCAAGAAAGAACTATTAAAATGGAAAGAGAGATGAAGGAATTAGCTAAAATGCAGCAGAAAGATAAAAGGACAGAAAATACAAATGAGTGATTAAGAGATGAAGAGAAAAGAAGGTCCAACATCATCTAGTGGGGGTTTTAGAGGGAGAAAGAGTACAAAGAAGATGGAATCCTCTGAGTCAAGCAAAGAGTATGAATCAAGGAGGGAATGATCAACTATGTCAGATGCCACTGACAGATAAGTCAGATGAAAACTGTGAACTAAATTTTTGAATTTAGCAATGTGGAGTTCACTGGTAACCTTAATATTAGCAGATAAGTTGAGTGCTGCAGCTGAAAGCCTGAATAGAAAAGAGTATTAGTTTTCTATTGCTGCATATCTCAAACTTAGCAGCTTCAACCAACATACATTTTATTATCTCACAGTTTCTGTGCATTAGGAGTCCGGGCACAGCTTAGCTGATCCTCAGCTCAGAGTCTCACAGGCTGCAATCAAGGTGTTGGTTAAACTATGTTCTCATCTGGAGGCTTGACAAGAGAAGACTAAACTTTCAAGTTCATCAGGTTGTTGGAGAGTTCATCTAAATAGAAAAAATATACAGAGAGAGAGCATATTGAAATACTGATAGTGTTTTTCCCTAGTAAACTTATTACAGTGGATTTCATTTTCTTCTTCATCATTTGTTTCCAAAATTTTCTGCAATAAGCTTGTATTACTTATCTCAAAAAATAATATTTAACAAGAAATTCAAATGATTCTCTTTTCCAATAAAAGTCCACATTATTAGATGAGCATGTACAGCCATCTTCCTTAGCCCATCAATAC